AAATAAATTAAGATAAAAGCCGACTGTCCACTGTTTCGAACGAGTGAAATTCTCGCTGCTTACCTTTCGGTTCATCGCTTACCAGCCGCCTTAACCGTGAGCCAGAGTGCGCTGCTTACCTGCAAAAGACAAAAGTTCAAGCTTAGTGATCGCTAAATTAACCGCTCACCCCCGGTAGTGAGGCGGTTGCCTGGACAACCGCAGCATACGAGGGTGGATCCAAGAAAACATGTCACTAACTTGCACCCAAGTGCACAAAGTTGAAATGAAATCGCCGGTAATTTAAGACGCGCGCTCGCCACCCGGCAGCAGCCACCCTTAATCTGTCGCCCATGAAGATCCGATTTCTTCACTTGTGCTTGATTAAATTGGCAGAGTTAAATCGTCTGGTAAATGTCGCATTTGGTCGCCGACGTGCAGCATTGCCAAATCTTTCGGAAATTCCCCCGCAACACCGAAACTGGTTGACAAATAGAACTGTCAGGGGCGGCACGGGGACGCGGAAGGTCTTGTCCACACCGTTGCCAAGTTTCGCTGCGATTGCCCCGCTAGGCTAATTATGAGAATTTTTTGAAAATGCTGCCTGCCAACTGCAAAAGGCACTTGTAGGCCTTTCTTCATTATTTAATTCCTCCGCCACGAATAATGATTGAGAAGTGAGTGAGGCCTTAATGGAAAGATAAGAATTTAATCCATTAATGAAGAAATTTCCATTGTTGGAACTTGTTTGGGCCAATTGTGGCAAATTTTTGAAAATATTCTTGCCAACTGCATGAGACACTTGTAGGCCCTTCTTTATTATTTAATTCCTCTGCCACGAATAATCATTGAGAAGCGAGTGAGGCCTTAATGGAAAGATAAGACTGTTCTCTATTAATGGAGAAATTTCCAATGTTGTAACGTGTTTGGGCCAATTGTGGCGAATTTTTGAAAATCTGCTTGCCAACTTGATGAGACACTTGTATACCCTTCATTATTTACTTCCTCCGGAATGAATAAAGATTGAGAAGTGAGTGAGGCCTTAATGGAAAGATAACATTTTTCTCCATTAATTCCAATTCAAGTAAAATTTCCATTTGGTTAGCTTGGGCCAATTGTTTGCCCTTTTTCATTAAAATATTCTTGCGAACTGCATGAGACACTTGTAGGCCCTTCTTCATTATTAAACTCCTCCGCCACGAATAATGGTTGAGAAGCGAGTGCGCCCTTAATGAAAAGATAATACTTTTCTCCATTAATGGAGAAATTTCTATTGTTGTAAATTGTTTGGGCCAATTGTGGCGAATTTTTGAAAATCTGCTTGCCAACTTGAAGAGACACTTGTATACCCTTCATTATTTACTTCCTCCGGAATTAATGAAGATTGAGAAGTGAGTGAGGCCTTAATGGAAAGATAAAAATTTTCTCCATTAATTCCAATCCAAGTAAAATTTCCATTCGGTTAGCTTGGGTCAATTGTTTGCCCTTCTTCATTAAAATATTCTTGCCAACTGCATGAGACACTTGTAGGCCCTTCTTCATTATTAAACTCCTCCGCCACGAATAATGATTGAGAAGCGAGTGCGCCCTTAATGGAAAGATAAGACTTTTCTCTAATAATGGAGAAATTTCCAATGTTGTAGCGTGTTTGGGCCAATTGTAGCGAATTTTTGAAAATCTGCTTGCCAACTATATAAGACACTTGTAGGCCTTTCTGCATTATTTAATTCCTCTGGAACCCAAGACTGGGTATTGAGTGAACAGCAAATGGAAAATAAAGACTTTTCTCCATTAATTGTGCTATTTTGATTGCTCTGCCAATTTTAGGCCAATTTTGACGAATAAAAAAAGCTTCCCAACTGTAAAAATCACTTGTAGGCCTTCTAACATTTAATTTCTTCGAAACCAACAAAGCTACAGAAACAGTTGAAACAGCAATCAAAAGACCGAGCTTTTCTCCACATGTGCTACCATTTTCATTGCGCCACCTCTTTTTGGTAAAGAATGGCAAATTTTTGAAAAATTGCTGTTCTTTGCTGTTTAGCAAAATACACTTGTAGTCCATTTTCATTAAATAATT